CACAGTTCAGATCGCCTACTTTTTATTTCGAACAATTTTTTTATTCGAAAAAAGTAAGTAAAAGCTTTTTTCAAAATATTTTAAATAATCTTTAAATTTGCTAATTTTAGTCAAATTAATTTTGAAAAACGTAGAATTGATTTTTGGAATAATTATAAACGAGGATTTTAACTTGTTTACAAAATTAGAAAAAAAATGGCTGATAGCTACTTATTTTAAGTAATTTTGATGACAGAAATAAACAACTTTTTTAAATAATATTTCGGACCTGATAAGAATGAGTAAAAATTTTTTAAAAATAATCAAAAAATACTTTGGTGTTTCTTCTTAAGAATGATATATATATTTAAGCCGATAAAAATTTATTACATCGTTTTTTTTCATGCTATATTTTTTTGTAGCAATTTTGTGGAGGTACATATTTTAAAGACACAGGTAAAAATCATAATTCATGTTTCCAAGGTTACAGATAAATCGACTTTCACTAGACAAGGGGTGTCTGCGTGTTCATTATGTCTGTATTTTAATGTATCAGTTACTAGCTACGTTTTGGTAGTGGGTAGGGATGCATTTTTCAATGAAATCTGACATCCGTTAAATGCATGTCGTCTGGATTTTTTTAAAATTTTATTGTTAACGGCAAAAATTCTTACGGCATTTTTTTCTATTTGTATATTTAAAGATTTTTGGGGGGTGTTTAGGTTAGAATACTTTTTATTTAACTACGATTTGAAATATTTTTACTTTTAATTTTTAATTTTTAATATACTATATTTCTTTTAAGAACAATTAAATGTAATTAGAATCCCTTAGAATTATTATGTAGAATTATCACATCAAGTATAAGTATGTAAATTATTAGGTTATAATTTTTTTTTTATATTTAAATATTATTTAAGTAAAATTTATGACAATGACTGCAAAATTAGCTACTTAATTTCACTGATTTAGTGAACTTTTTTTTTTTATATAAACCTATTTCAATTTACGATATATATATATATATATATATATATATATATATATATATATATATATATATATATATAAACATAAATTGAAAATGTAACTAAGTTATGAAATATCCAAATGTGCTTTTTTTCATGAAAATAATAAGCATAAACTAAAAATTCTTGAAGCTCTCTATATTAAGAAAATTAAACCAACCCTTAATAAAATTAGTTATGAATACTGCACAAATGTTTTAAAATGTTTACAGTAGATAGTTTAAAATATGTAGGCTTTACCAAATCGATTTTTTTTTTTTTTTTTTTGAGGGGAGACATTTCATAACTTAGTTAACTCCCTTGACGTTTACATCGTGAAATTTAAATCGTACAATACATAACTTTAGCGTTTTTTCACTTTACAGATAAAATTTAACTTTCAGATGAACACAACAATTTTTGTCTTAGAAAAAGCAACACCCTGATGATGACACTGTGCTAATATCGAAAGTACTCGGAATGAATGAATATGTATCAACATGGTAATTTTCTCTCTTCTTTTAATAAGGATACTAAGAAGGTTGTCCATAAATATGAGATGATCCTATTGAAAATAAATAGACAATATCTATCTAAATTATTCAATGAGGCATGTCATATATATATATATATATATATATATATATATAACCGAATGGATAAATATAGATAAATGTATGAGTGAGCGATCGTATACAAATACATATAAATACACTATAGTGTAAGAAAAAAACAGTGCTCAATGTTAAATAACAGCCCTGTTTAATATATATTAAGGAATATACAAAATACCTTACATTGATTGCACAACTGATTTTCATGCCGAAGCAATTATCAAACCCTTCAGTCATTCCCCTACACTAAATAAGATTTTCAACAAAAACAACGTCAAAGTTAGCTACAGTTGTGCCAAAAACATCGACCAGTATAAAGTACAGTAAAACTGTTCCATTCTAAGCAAACACTTTAACAAACTTCAAAGCAACATCCCCGCAACTAAGAATTGCAACTGCAGAAAAACTGTATGTCTAAATCTTTAGTTTATAAAGTTGAAATCAAATATGACGACGATGTCAGATTTTATATGAGCTCTACCCATTGGAAATCGCGCTTCTACCACCACCGAATGACCTTAGGCAATATCAAATATTATAACAACCCTGTCCTCTCTAAATTTTACTGGAAACTAAAAAGCGAGAATAAAAATCCAATTATCACCTGGGAATTAGGAGAGAAAGCTAAGCTCTTCAGCGGGAAAAGCAACAAATGTAATTTATGTCTTTCTTAAAATTAATAATCCTGAAAAATATTAAAATCCTAATCTATTAAAAGAAGTGTGTTCATAAGCACCTGCCGATAGAGAATCAAATTTCTACTCAAATACGTTGACCCAGATTGATAACCCATTTTTTAATTTTGATTAATATTTTTACTTTTTGCTACCATTACTACACAAATATTGATAACATTAGACCGTAACGCTTTTAACATTTTTGCTAATCCATTGTTTTCATTATCTTGTTATTACCATTTTTAATATATAACTATTATTATTGTTTTTGTCTTTATTTTTACCTTTAGTCTTAGTATTAAAAACGTGTTTATTTACTTATCTATTTGCATTTATTATTTATTTGCCCTATTTATTTCATTATTTACATACATACATACATATATATATATATATATATGGCTCTTTTTTATCTTATTTTATATTATTTTATTTTCATTGATATGTATTATTTTTATTATTACTTTAATTTAAATTTATTTTAATACGGCATATTTAATTATTGTTGATATCACTACTTTTACTTAGTTTAGTAATATTAATAATATTATTAATAACTTTATGTTTATTAGTTTTATTACATTGGTGTTTCTCTAAATTAGAAGTTATAATTCATATTTCCAATCTTAAATGTTAATTTGGGCCTAAATCCAAAATGAAACCACATTTCATTTAAATATTTTAACAATAATATTCCATCTCAACGATAAAGTATCTCGCGATAACCAGAAATTTTGTAAAAGCGGCGTTAACCCACAATAAAAATAAAAATAACGGCACTTGATAATTGCTTCGACATGAAAATCAGATTTGTTCAATCAGTGAAAGTTATTTTGTATATTCCTTAATATATATATATATATATATATATATATATATTTTCAGACAGGTTCTGTTAAATAATTTACACACGTTCTGTTTATTTATTTTCAATAAGATCCTGTCATATTCGCGAATAAGCTTTTTTTGCGCGGTTGTTAAAAAACGAGAGGAAAACACGGTATTTGTTCATATTGCATTTATTCCGAGAACTTTCGACATAGCATAATGTCATCATCAGGGTATTGTTAAATATAGTGTAAGTATTTATTGAAGGACAAAAATTATTGTGATCATCCGAAGATTACCATTTATATTTTTATAAGTCACGAACGTTGTGTCATAGCAGAGGTTGACAGACACCGTTTAAGAGAAGGTAAAAAAGTTCCAGGATTGGGCAGTTGCTATATAAAGGAAAATCTATTAATGACAAGCGCTGAAAACTATCTATTGTACACATTTTAAAGGGTTCGTGGAATATTCATAATTAATTTATTAAGGTTTGGTTTCAGTTTTTTTATATAAATAGCATCGAAAATTTTTAGTTCGTGTTTATTCTTTTCGTGGAAAAGTACGCAGGTATTTTTGACGAGGATGTTTCTGAATTGCGAGAGTGGACAGGTATGGTGCTTTAAGTGTTTAGAAATAGTGGAAGTATTATTCAAGTATTATTCATAATATATATATATATATATATATATATATATATATATATATATATATATATATTAGTAGTAGAAATAATAATAGGATAGCAAAAATAACTTATCGAAACAATATCGATAGTTGTCTTTGTGAAATAAAATGCAAATATGTGAGGGATCTGGAGGAAAATAAACGATAATGACCTAGAAAGCCTAATGGTGAAATGTAAGTTACGAAACATACAATTTCTTAATAATTAATAATCGTATGTATTAGTTTTTAAATGGATTTCTTTTTATTCCGACATTATTTCTTAATAATATAAACGTCATTTTTAGTGGGCACATGTGTTTGAGTTGACATCTCTGTTTTGTATTTGTTTAAACAATAAAGATAATATCAATCGAACTAGATCGAGAAGTCCGATTAAGAAAAATGTGCTTCCGGAGAGACATCGAATCTATGGAGGAAACCAATCCTACAGCCGAAGCGGGCTGTTACCAATTTGGTTACGGGTGACCATTTTGGTAAAGAAAAGTTCAATCTACCAATTAAAGGAACCCGCATCTCGCGCTGGGACTTCTATGAAACTATATTTGCTATATTCATATTCGTACTCAAAATGTAAACACACACACACACACATATATATATATATATATATATATATATATATATATATATATATATATATATATATATATATATATATATATATTATGACTTCAGACGTTATTCTTAGTAGATAGTCGTGATTAAAATCGACGTCCTGTTCGTTTTTATTACTTTATACAATGTGTATTACGTTTCCGGGGAGCACACATTCTTTATTAAGTTCTTTTGAGTGTTCAGGCTGGTAGACGTAGCACACTGTTTAAAATAATAAAAACAGGGCGACTATTTCAAACACAAATATCCACTAAGATAACGTTTGAAGAAATAAAAATGTCGAATTAAAAATAGATCACACACACACAAACGTAATTGAGTAGATATAAGAATGTCTACTCAAATACCTATATACATTAACTATGAATATGAGCGAAGCTTTGATAAAAGTGAAAAATGTTAGATTGATAAGAGTTACCTATTTATTCTTTATCACATATATATAACATATAACATATATATATATATATATATATATATATATATATATATATATTATATATATATATATATATTATATATTATAATATATATATTATAATATAATATATATATGTGTGTGTGTGTGAGTGAGTGAGTGAGAGAGAAGCTCAAAAGTGAACCGTGAAAAAAAGGCAAATAACGAGGTATATAGGGAGGCAGAGAGAGACAGGTATAGAGGTAAACAGAGAAAGAGAGGTAGAAAGCAAGAGAGCGACAAAGATACAGTCAGGTAGAAAAGTATACAAAAAGGGAGAGACAAACAGATGGACAGGCAGGCTGAGAAATAAACAGAGGAGGAGAAGGCAGTGATGTAGACACAGAGCAAGAGAAAGGTCGGCAGAAAAAGACAGGCAGAAACTCATAATAAAATTACTTGCAAAGAGAGATTAGACAGAAGTTTCCGAACGACATCGGAATAAAAAGTAATAACTAAGCTTCTCACACTGAAACATTTTCACCGTCTTTTGTGTACGACTTCCACCGCCATCAGTCTGGCGACCGGTTGTTGTCGTAGGGTCTATATGCAACAGAGAACCTGACCAGCACCCTCCAAATGTCTTGGTTGCGTGCCAGTTTCTGAGGCTCTGTCAATGAACTTCCGGTCCACTCGGGGACGTCACCAGCTCATTTCTTTTTTCTTTTGCCTAAAGTGGTACCTTATAGGGTGTCATTAAAAAGATCTTATGATGGGTCCTTACCATTTCAGCTTTCTCTTGTTGAGATCTCAGGATATGAAGTCATCATCCAATGGGCCTTTTTCTTGTCCAATGTTATCTCACATTGCGTAATTTTTTGTGCTGTCTATATAGGAATTTCCTGTGATAGTTCTGTAACGTCTAATTTCCAATGCTTGATTTTTTTTCTATAATTCTGCTATTAATGTCCAAGATTCACAGAATGCAGAAAGATTGAGAAGATCAACGCACGCAACTGTTTGATCTTAAATTTAAGGCAGATGTTCTCGTCTTTGCAGATGGTTCATAGATTTTTTTTCTGTATACTTTTCTGTATGCTGTCATACGTACGTAGAAGTAAGTATAAGTGGATATTAAACCAATAATACAGAAAGAATGACTGCAATATTTGCGTAGGATTGTTACTGATCTCAGACCGTTTTTTTTAACTTTGGCACTAGGCATAATGATTATCTCTATCTCTTTCCCTATTGTAAACATCGCTAGATGTTAAAGAAGAAAAAACTAAAACAAAAAAAAATGACTTCACTTTTGGGAAGGGAAATGAATTTTTCTTTTAGGAGGAGAAATGAATTTCATCATTATTCGGAACCTTTCGGCTAGTTTCTCGCCTTCGTCCGGTATAAGCCGCGACTGCAAATTTAAATACAAAACCCATAATCTTGACAAACAAGAGATAGACGCATTATCCTCTACTAGTCTGGCCGATATCAATGTTCACCGGGAAAAAAAAGTTACTAAGCTAACTATGGCATTTTTAGTAAGGTAATGGTCTCCTCTTTTGAAAATTGAAAAAGTACTCATTTGTACCACCTTGGGAAATTTAGTTATGGGAGATAATTTGCAAACCAGATCCGAAATAATAAACCTGAAGTAAACTTTAGCTGCATTTCACTATTATTAGCTGGTTTATATCAATAGTCAAGTATGTAGCAGTGAAACATTACAGAACATAAAAAATAAGACAAAACGAAGAACTACCACCCCTATATGTCTCGTAGTGAATAAAATACTGACCAAACACCCACAATTTACAGACCAATAATTGGTCTGTCAAATTGAATTTGACAAATAAAACAGCCTGCAGGGATACATAGAAAGAGAGAGGGGTGACAGTCGGACATATATTTTAGAACACTTCCAATCAACCCATATGTTGCTCTCAGACCTTGCTCTCACTGTGTGGGACTTTCAAGATGGTTACGTGTTATTTGTATGTTTTGAAGACCGGAAAACAAAGTAAGGAAGTTTTATATCTCAGAAACCACTGATGCTAAGAACATGAAATTTCGCTTGGTTATAAGTGTTGTTAATAGATATACACCCGAGTTAAATAAAGATTTCCGTTCAAAATACCATCTTATCGTGAAGAAATAAAACGTACACTTGAAGAAGTCCGATAGGTGTAACAATACGCTGCAAGTGAAAGCCTAAATTAAATACAAGGCGCGTCTTTCACGCCTCATTACTATTGAGAGTACTCTAGCTATATAGGAGGGGCTACCCCAAAATTTGAAAAATTCGAACAGAGCGTGAGAACCAAATACAGATTATATATATATATATATATATATATATATAATTAGAATTAATCTCAGTAAAATTTTGTCACTTAGCTGATTGATGTTACCTTCACCATCCCGATTCAGAGTTTCGTAGGCGGACCTGTTCGTCCCTCTTCCAGGGGCTATCAGCAATTATATATATATATATATATATATATATATATATATATATATATATATATATATGAATGTTGAAACGTTCCCAGCCAGACTCAATGCTAAAAAATTTGATTAAACTTCAAGATTTGTTTTTTAATCTCTTGGTCGGATCAAAACGTTTCATCGTTAATTACATATATATATATATATATATATATATATATATATCTTATTATATCTTGTTAACTACTGCATGCGCTCGTATATACACTTTAAGCAGTTAATGAAATTTTTAATACAATATTATTTCTTATTACTATAAATACCTATTAAATATAACGTTTATAGTAATAATACACTTACGCGGTTATGTATTTAAGCAACAATCCCACTTTAATAAATGTTTCATTGGACAAGACTGACAAGGTCTTTTTTACATTTTTTATTATGTTTTTCTTCTATTTTACTCTGTATGTAATAATTGTAAAATTTGTCCAAATGTTTGTTGATTTCGAACGCTTTGAAAAAAACAGTCTTGTCCAACGGAACACACACACATACACGGGTGCCCGAAGCACGGAATAAACCCTCCTAGTTGTATTAAAAAAAAAAAAAAAAAAAAAGCACATTTTATACAGTCAAACATAAAGAGAAATTATTAACACCTAAAATAAACCCTCTTGAAAATGGCTAAAAAAGTGGCCGGAAAATACACAATATGAACAATTCTTGAACTCTTTATTCCCACCAAACGGAAAAATGTAAGAATTCTGGAAAAATAAATAAAAAATATGTTTAAAAAAGAAAGTTTGCTGCCTTAATATATATATATTATATATTATATATATTATATATATTATATAATATATATATATATTATATAATATATATATATTATATATATATATATATATATATTATATATATATATATATATATATATATAAAAAAAAATTCAGACGACATCCATTCAACTGATGTCAGGTTTCATTTAAAATACATCTACCCCTTACCAAATTGTAGCCTAATAACTGATACAATGATACTGACATAAGGAAAATCTAGACATCCCTTGTTTCAATTTAAGTAGAATATTCTGTAACCATGGAAACGTGATTTTAGCTGTGTCTTTAAAACCCAGTAATTTTAAAAGTTACACAAAATTCGCTTGAAGATGAAATGGAACTAATGCTTTTAATTTAATTGCAAAAATTAAATTCGGGGTTTTCTTCTACTATTTTTTTGAAACATGGTTGGAACTGTGTAGCGAAAAAAAAACATTTTAAATCAATTAATTTATAATATTAATGCTCTGTAAATTTACATTGAGCACTATTTTGTAAAAATAAAAATAAAAATATCTATAACACTGGATTTTATAATATTTACTGTTCTTTCTTTTTGTTATATATATATATATATATATATATATATTTATATATATACTGGATATATTATATATATATATATATATATATATATATATATATATATATATATATATATATATATATATATATATAATATATATATATATATATATATATATATATATTATATATATATATATATATTATATATATTATATATATATATATATATTATATATATATATTATAATATATATATATATATATATTATATATATATATATATATATATATATATATTATATATATATATTATAATATATATATATATATATATATATATATATATATATATATATATATTATATATATATATATTATATATATATATATATATATATATATATATATATATATATATATATATATATATATATATATATATATATATATATATATATATATATATATATATATATATATATTGCGTTTAGAGTCTGTCGCCTCTGAGTGTTGACTTAAAATGTTCACTTTTATATTTACATACACCCTATCTCCGATATTGAGCACTTTATCTCATAAATATATAGCACCTTTAGACTATATATATATATATATATATATATATATATATATATATATAAATATATATATACAATTTTACTATGGGGTGCAAAGAAAACCACTAGTGATGGGACAGGTTAACTGATGAAGTCCAGTTCTGCTTAATGACAAATTCTCGGCCATATGTTACTGGGATGATACTACAGACACTCACCAACTTGGGATACTATACTTTGCGACATCCACCATATTGTCTTAATCTCTCGACAACTGACTTCCACTTTGTCAAGGATTTTGACAAGTTTTTAAGCCAAAAGCTTGTAGAAAAAGATGCAGAAACTGCATTCAAAGATTTCTTGCTGTCCAAAACTTTAGAGTTTTATCGTAAAGGCATAAATAACCTTGTAACTCGATGGCAGAAATATACATATATTCAGCCTTCCTATTTTTAATTGATTTAATTAATTAAATTAGGAATGAAATTTGATTCTAAAGTAGAACATTATTTTCTGCATAACGTAATATATCTCAGAATTGCAATCAAATTTATAATATTCAAATTTTATGGATTTAACATAACTTGAAACACATCCCATAATGAAGAAAAATGCAATATAGTCTGAACATAGCCCAACCATAATATTTATGCTGTAGAGGAACTTGTGTACATATCTCATAAATTTAGTTAAAATTTAATTAGTTACATTCAAACTGTATTGGGAATCATACCAAAGAGACAATAATAGTAAGGCGGTTATATATTTAGACAGATCGAGATATAAACTTGGACCTAAAGGATTTGAGCCATATTAGATAGAATCTCACGTTCATAGATCAACTCTGTGTTGTGATACCCACCTGTGCCTATGAGTCATTCAGTTTTACTCAACGACTGTGTACAACAGCAACTATCAGACTTGTTACTGATCTAACTTCAACGGAGATTAAATTGAGTCAGTAAATACACCACCTGATAACCACTCAGATATAAACTAAGTAGCAGTATTTAGGTGTTCATTACCTTTTACCATGCACACTAAATAGAATAAGACTAATTGACTAAAATAGTGGTGTAATTTCATCACAATATTTTAAGTACACCTCAGGCTGCAATCAAATCACAATAATTGAACTATTGCTACTATTTTATCTAACGTTAATTGTAATTAGGTTGAATATAGTTGCTTACTGCTTATTGAAAGAGAAAAAGTAAAGGAAAGGCGAGAGAGAAAAAGTAAAGGAAAGGCGAGAGAGAAAAAGTAGAGAGAAGGCGAGAGAGAAAAAGTAGAGAGAAGGCGAGAGAGTAAAAGTAGAGAGAAGGCGAGAGAGAGAGAAAGGGAAGGCGAGAGAGGTAGAAAAGAAAGGAAAGGCGAGAGAGGTAGAAAGGGAAGGCGAGAGAGGTAGAAAGGAAAGGAGAGAGAGAAAGAAAGGAAAGGAGAGAGAGGAAAGGAGAGAGAGAGAAAGAAAGGGAAGGAGAGAGAGAAAGAAAGGGAAGGAGAGAGAGAGAAAGGGAAGGAGAGAGAAAGAAAGGGAAGGAGAGAGAGAAAGAAAGGGAAGGAGAGAGAGAGAAAGGGAAGGCGAGAGAGAGAGAAAGGGAAGGCGAGAGAGAGAGAGAGAGAAAAGAAAGGAAAGGCGAGAGAGAAAAGAAAGGGAAAGCGAGAGAGAAATGAAAGGGAAGGCAAGAGAGAAAAATATTGGTAAAAAAAACTAATGAGATAAACAAAAAAGGTAAAACGGTGAATGTATTACGAGGATGAAGTTGGATGTACCGGTCGGTACTCGAGAAAAGGGAAAACTGGCACCTTGGGGGGGGATAAAAGAAACAGTCCTCGATTAGGATGGAGACTACCGGCTGAGTTTACATTTCACGTTATCACCAACAGTCATTAATTCTGAGATGCCAACCCCGCTCCCTGATCTGTCACATTTGAAATAATGAAGTAACAAAAATAAATGCCAAAATGGTAAGGGGTGACGGGTAAACAATTATAGTCGAAATAAACCAAACGGAGTGATTTGAAAAAATAATTGTTTCATATAGTCTCTATGATAGGATTTGAAAAATCTCTGATCAAATCAGAAACCAAGTTGGTTTTCTTGACATTAGTAACCTGGCAACATGACTGCTTGTCTTTGAGGAGTTTAGTTTGAAGTATTTTAATACCAAAGTATAGGTCTTCTACCTGTGCGAATTAATATGTAACCATTAACTGTATAAAAACGTAATACAAGGTTGACAATAAAAGGGACAAAGCAAGTTGTTAGTTACAAATCGGGGACGTAAGCTGGGTAATATAGTAATGGGCAACAGAATGTGTGATACAGAAATCCGAAAGGACAAGAATAACAAAGGATGATTTTTAGACACTGAGCAAAATATTAAAAGATCGAAAAAAAATATCCCTTAGAAACAAAAACAGTGACTGCTGTGAAAATATAATCTTCAGTATAGCAGTGAATGTTAGACAGTTTCCTCACAAATGTAGAAAAGACGAAGTGATAGTGGCGTAGTTCTAACCATGAAAGTTAATATCATAGAGTCTAGGAGAAACAAAGACGATAAAGAAACTGATCCTAACAATCCAAAGGGTTAAAAAAAATTTTAAATATATAATGAAAGAAGGTTTAGAACAGTGATTCCACGAACCCCAATAAGAATTAGTCCTTCATAGACAGACAGACGAGCAGATACTCACAGTTGGAGTGGCTTTTCACAACACTTATTCGTACATTTCTCCATACTGCACCCTCATAAATACTGTACTGCATACACCTAACTTTTCAGCCAGTCACGCTCGAAATAAATTATAACCAATTAATCCTCACCAGTAGAGAAATTATCACTTTCTCTTATGTAGTGGCAAATGATGGCGGTCGTACAGAGAATGATGACATGTATAAATAGTAAACATGGACCCAACAGCAAGTCAACAGGCGCCTAGCGGTCGGCACTGTAAGTAGTGGCTGGGTGCGTTTTCTTTAAGCAGTGGCAGGCTGGATTTTCTTTTATTTCTTTCAATGGGACAAGGGCTGTATAGCGAATATAAATGTTTTTTATCTGATCCTCACAAACCCTGAAATTTATGTATCGTCAAGAATCCCTGGTTTAGAGAATTTAACCACAAATCACAACGAAGGCTTCTGTCATGAAACCTTTGTTATGCTTTGTGATTAAATTCTCTAAATTCAGATTTGATTAGAAATTGTTCCAGTCGTAGAACCGATTTCGAATTCCAGTCGTGTTCATTACATTCACTTATGTGCTAATATCCTTGAGAAAGATATGAATTCACCTCCTTTTCTTTTCAGTCATGTGTGAATAACAGGACAGACTATGTCTTATAGCCTTGGTTGGCGAGTAGTCTAAATCTCTGACTTCAAACCAGCCTAGAATCGGTTGAGCTCCGTCAGACCATCTTGCCTAAAACACGCCACTGCAGCTCAAGTACGTGAGGTCCCTTAGACACTAATGGGTTATGAAACTCGTGATCGTGTCAACCAAGGCAAGAAAACAGAGAAAAGTAGTAACACATTTGAGTAAATGGCAAGCTAAACAAGTAACAAAAGATATAAAAGCCTAAATTTTCCTGAATGCAACAAAAGATACGCAAGTTGTGGAGAGCCATGATCGCACACGTCCTTTTTTTTTAAGCGTTTCACCCCAAGCAAGGCGGGAAATCACTAGCATGCAAGGGGTTACAGAGAGTTGGAGCGAGAGCAAAAAGAAGTGATAGAGGAAAGGATGAAGAGAAGGATAGGGGATAGATCAGAGCATCTGGAGACGTCTATAGACGTTACATTTGAATAGTTGGAGATTAAAGTTATCAGGAAAACAAGAAAAGTGGAGGGAGTTCCACAGGTGAGAGGTGCAAGACATGAAGCTATTGGAGTAGAAGAGACGGCTACGTTTAACAGTTTCGACAGTGAAAGGGTGTGAGCGAGATGCCAGCCTAGAAGAACGCTTAAATTCATGAAGTCTGGGAACCAGCGAAAGCAGCTCATCGGAGCAGTTACCGTGACAGTATTTGTAAAAAAGACAGAGGGAGGCGACGGCATGTCCGTGAGACAGCGAATGCAGGATTATATCACATGCACTGAAGCTATTCTTGGATGATCTACAAAATATGCTATAGACTGACACCTTCGATAACAAGCTATACGCAGTTCACATTTAACTTATATTATCCTGTCGGTAGAGTTAAGAATGAGCTAACTGCGTGAATTGCAGAATGGTAAAACCACCACCAAGAAGAGCTACCTTCTACATGGATACTTGTACACTTAGTTGAAAACCAGACTGATGTCAATCTTGTTAACTTTAGTGTAAACCAGGCCTATATCTAATTTATTTTTATACTCGTGTAAACCGGGCCTACGTGTCATCACTACGAGTGGTATTGGTACTGTTTAATCAAGTACTACTTACTCCATGATTGGTCCCTCGGCGACTTAACCGGTTCCTCAATCAGGTTTTCCGGGTGAGGTGTGGTGGCTAGACACCCAACAGGATTAAAAACAAGGCCTTCTTAAAGAGACAATAACCATCTAGTACAACGGGGTAAAATGGGCTCCATAGATGTAACCAGTGCGGATGTCTTTTTAGACTGAAGTCAACGATGGCTTCCACCGATGAAATCAACAGCCACGAGTCAGCGATTAAAGTGAGCCTTCAAGTTGGAGGACATTGGTTGTGCTTTAATCTAGTGAGAGATGGACTCCGTCTACATGTCGAATACATGCTACTCATAGCAACGAATACCTCTACGGCTTTCAACACAGCGACCCTATGACTGCATTCGGTCATGGGACTGATGATAAATGATTATGAAAACCGGAGCTATGTCTACCTGCTTTATTATAGTTTAAATCGCACTTCGACAGTATTTTCTTCGTTTCTGACAATATTACTACTTTTTTATCTAAAACGTTTCTATTCTTTCATCACACTGGAGAAATATTGCCGATCAAATTATTATCTTCAGTTTGCAAAATGTAACAATGTCAGCATAAGCTGCGTTGCAAAACTACAGCAATGATCAAAAAAGTAAAAGCAAAATAAAACATTTGTAAAATCTTCGTTTCTTCCTCCTCTTGCAGAAAAAAATCTCATGTTAGAATTCATTGATTGTTTCAAAAATTATTGTAGTCATTTTTTTTTTTTTTTTTTGCTTTCTCCCTTTTGAAAACGTTCAAGCTGATCAGTGATTTTAATGTATCCATTTGTTTTTGCCAAATATCGTTTGCTAACTTAAAACATTTGTATACAGCTTATTCTTCTGGTTAGGATTATTCTCTTTTAAAACTCTTGACTGAGTTTAAGAAATTGATAGAATTTTTGTACGAATGAATAAAAAGACACCCTCAAACCAAAAGTTAGTATTTCCAGTCGGTTTTGTCTGAGAAGGGACCAAGAAGGGATTGTTTGCTTCCGTTTAGTACAGTGGTTCTCAACCTTTTTTGTCTCATGCACCCTTTTCACCATGTCAGAATGTCATTCCCCACTTTCCAAGATTTTCCGACTCAAAAGATGCAACCCAAATAATACGTATATATTACTGAAAATCTTCATTCTTTTCCATATTAGTATATATACATGGATTATTTTTATAGAGGGATTTTAAAAATTTAGTGGCAATAGAAAATGTTGATGGATTTTTAAACTTGATTACATGTACAGTGTGACCCGGATATAAGAGATATTTTCTCTGGTCCCGAATTAGAGCCTGTGTTAATGTATATAAAATAGACCAAAACCGGGTATAAGAGAAACCCGGATATAAGAGACTTCTTCTCCGGTCCCGACAACTCTCTCATATCCGGGTTACACTGTACAATAATTCATAACTGGTTATTAAATAAATAAACTGAATCATACTTCAATAAACAAAACGTTCAATAGAATGCCAGTGTATTGTAATTCAATAAACAAATAGTTCAATAAAAAGGTCAGGGTATTTAAATCGATTTTTTTTTTCTGATGAAGATTACTGCCAATGAGAAACTTGTGAAAAAGTAAAAGATTTATTCCCTGAAACCCTGAGAGGAATTTTCTCTGGTTGAGCATCCGTTTTAGTAGAAGCCACTTTGATCGCTCTTCTCTCAAACTGAGGACTTTTTTGTTCAGGTTCAATTTTTGACTGCTGATTCCATTTATCAATTTTCTCGCAGACAACGCGTGAAAGCACGTTTGATACCCTGCCCTCGTCAGACGCCAACCGGGGGAGATAATAGAGTTTCGGCGGCTAGGGCGGTACTGCCATTTCTGGTTCCGCCAGCAACTTTTGCCACCGGGCAGGGTATTGTTCTTTTATTTAGACATGTCAGTCTCTTGCGATTTCTTTTTAAAAATGCAACTGAGATTTTCAACTTTGTGTTAAAAGCGTTTGCTTTTGCTCGTTAACCAATACCCAACGCGCTCGTAGCGACCGTTATCAATGACGTAGAATGGAAGGTAAACAGATATGTTTCACATCGGAAGTATCATTGTGTTGCGAGTATGGTTTTAATTAACTTGACCAGACCCAACTTGACACCTGTTGAGTTGTGGCCTGGGGACGGTGTGAAAAACGCTTCAGGTTCTCGCAGACAATTCTGTTAATGATTATCAATGGAATAATTAAATGTCTTTCTTTGGGATTCTGTTTCATTTGCCTTCAGCATAAATAATGATGACAGTAAATCGATGCAGTTGTAGGTCATTGAGAGCGCCATGATCCTGTCGATGGCTGCATAGCATGTGCTCCGCCAGGGCTACATACGGTTTTGGAATCACAGTTGTCTTCTCCTAGACAGGTCGTCAACCAAGGTTAGAAAAGCCAATTTGCCACGCTATGTTTAGCTGGCGCGAAAGAGAACAAATAGATCAATCTCATTCCCAAGGGTATTTA